GACCTTGCAGCGCATCACAAGGAAAACTGCTTTTAGTAGGCCCTTTGTGCTTYCTTCCTTCCTCCTTCACTCTTCCTTTAGCTGCTTATTTTTCACAGTACTCCTGAAGTCTTACTGTCTTGGCAGTCTTGGAGGAAGTTGATTCTTTCTGCCAGTTGTTACTCARTGGTTTTGCCAGCTCCTGTGTTGTGCTTAACATCATGAAAATTTACATGCTCTCTTCAACCCATGTGTCAGACCCTTGTCCTGTGTTGATATTACTTGTTTGAGGTTTTCTGTATTTTCCCAACATACTGCAACCACTAAGGTGTAAATTCTTGAAAATTAATTTTCTTCTATGAAGATCTCATTTTAGAGGCAAAAGAGTGCAGCGCTTGAGGATTTTCCAAAATAAATGGTGGAAAGAACCCTAGGAAAAAAAAGTACACAACTGTGACACTCTTGCTAAATTGTGATTTGAATTATGTCAAACAAATAACAATTCCTTAAAACCTTGAGAAATTTGACCTTCCTACCCTGGACATTATTACTCTCCTAAGAGTTTCAAGCAACCATTCCATTCTAAATCTGAGTCTCTTTTCCCTTTGGTTAATGATTTCTTTGCTGTCAGTTGTTCTTACTGAGAAAAAGTCTGCAAGGCAGGTATTTCAGGATCTTACAGTCCTGTTACATGCACAGCTTCTGATGTAAAGAAGATGTGTGGGAATACAGAAATTGTCAGGTTGGCCCATGATGTGTTGACATTGCAGAATTTCCTTCTGTTGTATTCCTGTTACTCTGTGATTATATTCTAAGTATTCTTAGAGAAAAGATCTCGTTTTTTAAAATGTTTTTTATTACAGATCCTATGGAAGAAGACATTCTACAGGTTGTGAAATATTGTACTGATCTAATAGAAGAAAAAGACTTGGAAAAGTTAGATCTGGTTGTTAAGTACATGAAAAGGTAACTTAATTGCTAGTATTTGTGAACTTCAGACTATTTTTGTTAGAATTTGTACCTAGGTATTATGGATACTAGATACACTATAGAYTGATACACTAGATACTTTATTGTGAGGCCACAAGCCCATTAAACATTCCATTGAGGAGTGGTTTTAGGCTTAAAAACTGGGGTTAGGGGAAGAAGTTGGAGTGTTAAAATAGGTAATTTGTGAAAAATTAAAGAGCACTATTTAGTAGTATTTCATAGAATCACAGAGTGGTTTGGGTTGGAAGGGGCCCTGATGATCACCCAGGCCTAATTCCCATGCCATGGGCTGGAGCACCTGCCCTTTAGACCAGGCTGCTCAGAGCTCCATCCARCCTGGCCTTGAACACTTCCAGAGTGGGGGCATCCACAGCTTCTCAGGGCAACAGTCTTCTGGACAAAGATTGTAGTTCTTCAGCAGTGTCCCTTTTCTTCMTCCTGTTTTTGTTCATTTTTCATGGCATCTTAGACCTGATTTCATTCTCTTGGCTGTATCCAGATTCTGTCTCACCTCCAACCTTTAAATCCATTCCTGTTACTTAGTTGTTGTGCTGTTACTCTTCCCAAGAGTTAGGAGGCTCAAATGCATTTATGACTTGCTTACTAATTAATGCTTAATGGTGGGACTTAGCTTTCTGTGTTTTAGATCTGCAAAACATGTTTCACAAAATGAATCAACACCAAAAAGATTACAGCAGCGTAGAAAGTTCATTGGGCTTCTGTAATGTGGGATATCTTTGGGACTTAGAAAATGCAAAATGCACCATGCAATGAACTGTTTTATGGAATCTGTATAGTAAATTCTTTATAAAACTCTTCAGAAAGCCTCATGTCCCATTCCTGGGTTGGGTCTGCACTGATGGCAGTGTGTCTCTCCAAGTGGCACACTTGCCCCTATGATACTGATGTTACACCCTCCAAAGTCTCCATGTAGGAGCCCTGTGCTCTCCTGCAGTACAGGGATCTAGAAGAGATACTGAGAGTACAGAGCTGCTTTGTTTTCCTTGGGAGTTTCCTTCATTTGCTTCTCGTAGCCGCTGATCATAACTCACACCATAGGGGGAACTTGTAGTTCTCTGTGGGCATCCATGATTTGATTTTGTTTTTAGCAGTAAATACATTAAAATATGTAAATATATATTAAGAATAATGTAGTGCCCCAAACGGTTATTATTTAAATGTGTCAATTGTGATTGGTGGGAAAAAAGAGTARTAGCATCTCTGTCTTGGGATGATGGAGCAAAGATCAGGGTTCAGAAGCTTTCCATTTCTGGTCTTCAGTATGAAATTGGTGGAAGGTCACCCACCACTTTAGTCACAAACTCGCACACTGCCAAATGCAAGTATTTAGAAACTGSTGTGCCACTGCTCACACCAGGAGTCCGTGGCATTGAGTAAGGCTCAGAGTATTTAAACAAAGAGGGAGGGCTTTACCAGGATTGTATCCAAATAACGTTGGTGGGAAACTGCTGGGATCTTGTTTTCCAGTGTGAAGACCAAAACTGATTGTAAAAAGGATATGGTAGTTCTGTAATGGTAATTTTCAGCCTCTTTTTCCTTTTCCCCTTCAGGTTAATGCAGTCATCTGTGGAATCAGTTTGGAATATGGCATTTGACTTCATTCTTGACAATGTTCAGGTAGTTTTACAACAAACTTATGGAAGCACATTAAAAGTTATCTGAACTTGTAGTAAAGAGCTTGATGAGAGCCTGGAGCTCTCTGCTAGCTGTGCCATAAGTGCTTGTGAGGTATTTGCAAAGTGCATGATAGTAATGCCCTGAGTTTTTATAATTTCAAATTTCTTTTTAAACAACAAAGTGTTTTGTACATTTCTTTTCAGAAAGTGCCAAATTTGTCAGTATTGCATGTAAATAATTGTGTTAAAATTCTTTTATTGTAGTATAGAATCTATTTACAAAATGTTTGTTTATAAAGTTTTATGGATTTTTACAGTGAAGTGTTTACAGTTGTTTAATAAAGAACTGTATGTATATTTTTGTACTGATTCTATTTTGTGATGCTTCAGTTTGAATATAGTGAACCCCTTTTACTAAAACTGCAGCTTTGATTCATTTCACAAAGTTTTTCACAGTGGCACTGCCTCAACACATGAAGGAGGTTGCTGGTACACACACCTGGCCACTTTTTGTTTCTTCTCCACAAGCTTTATTACAGATTTTAAGCTGAGGGAGGATTATTAGTTCATTTTCAGTCCTTCAARGACTCAAGCCAGGGTTGGCCAGCCACTTCTGAAGCCTACCCTCTGTTAGCTGAAGCCTGAGTGCTGTCTGACCTTGGGTCAACCACTGTCACCTCTGGAGCTGCTGCTGGAGGAAAGCAAGTCACTCCAAAGGAGCCCTGTAAAGAAGGTGGGGAGTAGCCAACAATGAGCACTGCTGAGGCCTGTATTGGTCATGTGCATTTGCTCCTACTCAAGATGTGAATCACACAGTTCTCCCCAGTCYGTGGCATGCATTTCCTTCATGCAGCATAACAAAGTAAGTTGTAGGGAGTAGCAGAAGAGAAAKAAAGGGTCCCATTGCTGTGTTCCTGGTAGGAGGGTGCTTACATCCCTGCACTTGTTTTGGGTGGGTCTGCTTTTTCCAGGTGTGTACCAGCCTTGTACAGTCRWACTTGGCTCAGTGTATTGAAGCAAGGCTGTTCAGGGTGCTTGGAGATGTAAAAGACCACTTGATGAAAACCAAGTTGGTAAGAAAAATCTCTTTATTTTCTGAAGAAATTATGGGGGAGGTGAGAAGGATCCCATTTAACACTGGACGGATGTGGGACCACCTCAGCATAGAAGCGAGAGCAGGATTTGCACCACCAGCTTGCCTGGCACAGGACACGAGCTGCAGCACTGAGAGCATCTGCAGCTGCCAGTTCAGCTGGAGCAGTGAAAGCTCTGTGGTCACAGCCCTGGATGCAGCACAGCTTACAGAGGTGGCAGCAGGGTTTGTAGCTTTAGGGTTTTTAGCTTCAGGTTTTGCCCTTGGCTTCCTTGTAATGGACACTGGGAGGGCCTGACAACCCTCTACAGCCAGGTGATGGATGAGGGAAGGGCAGGAGATGTCCCTTGACTTCAGTAAAGCTTTTCATTAAATCTCCTGGACTATCCTCAGGGACAAGCGGTTGAAGTGCAAGCAAGAGGGAGGTTTACTGACTGGGCAGGCGGGCTCTGGACATGGKGCTCAGTGGCACAAAGTTCTGTTGGGGCCCAGCTCAAGTGGCACCAGGTCCAGTCCTATTCATCCTCTCCGTAAAGGACCCGAGTGTTGCTTGGCACAGCACAGGGAGCTGCCAGCCTCCCAGGCTGCAGACGGAAGATCATCCCCAGGAAGACAAGGCAGGAGGTTGCTCCCCTCTGCTCAGCAMTGGTGAGAGGCACCTGCAGTGCTGAGCTCCTCGGTACAAGAGAGAAACACAGCAACTCTCAACACAAGCCCGTGGTRCCCAAGGGAGTGGAGCTTCTCCCACAACGCAAGGACTGAGAAGAGCTGGCACTTGGAAAAGGCTGGGGGAATCTGATTCACACGTATAAACACCTGATGGTGCTCATCCAGTTGTAGATACGGATCAAGAAAGATGGACATTATCTGAACCTAGATACCTTTAGTTTCCTTTAGTTCCTAGTTTGGGTCTTTCAGAGTCCCTTCAGTTCCTCTTTTGAAGCTACCTTTTTGTTTTCCCCTTGATTTAGAAAAACCAGCACATCAACCACTCACCTCAAGGCACCTATTKCTGAAATTCAAGCAGGTATTTTTCCAGTCAGTTTTCGGGTACAGCACTGGAACTGGTGCTCAGACAGATTTAAAAAGGACTCAGCATTAATAAGGCTATTTGTACTTACATTTTCTTAGTGATCCCTGTTTCAAGCCCTTAAATATAACATTTTACAGGTATCTGCTGCCCCAAAAGTCTTTTAGTGAAGGTTATTTTATAAGTTCCACAATGCCAACATTGCATATATATTTCCCAGGATTTTTACCTACGGGAAGAACACCCTTACACATTTGGGGAAACAATACAGCAAGACCACACTGTTTGACATCCGTGTTCTTAAGAACTTTTTATTAGTGTAGGTTTCATGATTGCATAGTTTGCAAAAGAAAATTTTAACAATTAAATGCAGTCTCCTCCCTCTCACCRTTCTGTTCACCCACTGATGGGAATATATACCACACACCAACCATAGTGAAAATGTCCTTTTTCAATGGCAAGTTTAAAGTCTAAACAAAAAAAAATCCAGAAAATTAAATTCCACTTGCAAAGGAGGCGAGTTATTAAATGTTTCTTTGTAATTCAGTCCACATAGTCCCAATCATAACTTTTGGATTTATCCGACAGAAAAAGTAATCCAAGTGACAGAAGAAATCTGATCAAACTGCTTGTTGCAAGTTAAACTCACATAAGTATCTTAAATGCTAAAAATCTCAGCTGCATAAACAATCCTTCTTGATTTTGTTTCAGCTTGTGCTTTTGAAGAGTGTTTTGCTCCTGTCAGCGTGAGCTGTGAGTTACCCAGAGACAGCCCAAGTAAGAACACATCGAGCTGTCAGCCCAGGCCGGGAGGCAGAGGGGAAGGAAGGGTGGGAAACTGCTGGGATTCCAGACTGGCTCCTGGTCATCACAAATATCCACTCTGGAGCTGGTTCAGTCCCACTGTGTCAGATGACTCCAGCTGTGATGCAGCATCCAAAGTCACAGCTCCCTGGGCAGCAGCTGTTCGCAGGTACTCCCAGCACTGGGAGCAGCGAGAAGTGAAGGCAGCTCTGAGCTCCTCCGGGAGTTGTGCCGTGCTGAACACCTGGCCTGGCCCTCCCGTGCTTTGGGAATGCTGACATCACCTTGAGCACACAAGAAGTGCGTTCAGAGGAGGAATCGCTTTTGGCTGGAACACGCCTCCACCCTTTCGCCAAGAAGAGAGGGAAGAGGGCCCCTGCCCAGCCTTTCCACATCTGCTAGAGCCCATGAAGGGAAACTTGGATTATTGAAGCAAACTGTAAAACAAATGGGCTGCTCTGTCCATCTCCTTTATTTGTGGCTCTGCATTATAATGATTACAGGTTGACTTCCATGAACTGTACAAGCAGTAAAAGGTGGGCAGCTATGCTTTACAACATTGTTTCACACAAAGCAAATACAGAGATAGCCAATTGCCTAATTTTCTATTTAAAAAAAGTTCTATAGGCACAAAGCAGAAGAATGTGGAAAAGAAAGTCAAGGAAAGAGGTATGCATAAATAAAGAAGTATTTCTTACATCAAAAATGTCCCGAAAATCACAAAGTCTGCAGAAGCTTGGTTAATCAAATACTGCAGTACTGCTCTCATCAGTATAAAAGKGAAAGAGCTTTAGTTCTGTAATAAAAATTCAATTTATTTTATTTTGTTTTGGAGAGGAGGAGGGAAAAAGGGTGGAAGGAAGGTGTAAGAGAGGGAAGGGTAAACTTTAAAACAGCAGCCAGTATTAGGAAGGGTAGTAGGAGAGGTGAACAGGCACATTGGAACCATGGGAACATGTAAATTGACCACTGTCAAACCAGTGTAAATTTCTTGGTTTCTCATGGAAAACATTTTATCCACATATTTGCCTCCCAAACATACACCCAACACTGTCTTCAACATAGGACTTTGTTGGTAACTTTTTTAGAACAGGAAGAGTGCATTTATTCCTGTCTCCGCATTGCTGTAAAAGTTATCTAGATGATTTCAAACACTTTCTTCAGTTCTACTATAAGCTGCCAGTCAGACTTCTGCATCTCATCCCTGAACCAGTCCTTCAGAGCATCGATGGACTGMCGGCTGATCTGTAACACACAAGACAAACCCATCAGAAACACACCGGTATGAAAGGCAGCTTTCAGCACTTTGGAAACAATTCATCTGAAGAAAGGGCATCARTCTGCACCCCAGGTAAACTCACTCTAAGCCCACTTTTGCTGCTGATCCAGCTGTATGACCCACCACGTTTGTTCCCCTTCATTTCTCCTCCTCTTATGTCCGTTATCTGGTCTCGAGAGGCTGCAGTTGGATAAACCACCCCACACCTTATGCAGTAAGAACTGGAGAGGTCTCCTGCTTCCGCCAGGGCCCACAGGACCAGAAACCCCTCCCTTGTCCCTATCCCAGCCCCTCCTCACCCTTTGTGGACACACGCCCCAAGGCCTATGTGTGGCAGGGCATGTCTTGTGACATGGTAACTAAAGCAGTTGGGAGGGTGGGGAGCTGTGGCTTTACTTCCAACAGCAAAAGAAGGAGCAAGGGCTCATCTCATCCGAGCCCACTGCTCCATAATGAAAGCAACTGCAGGATTGCTATTTATTCAAGCACAGGCTGTGATGCCCTTGGGGACTGCTGAGCACCAGTGCCCTGTACAAACAGTTTGCAAAGAGCGAGTGTAGCATTTTGCCCTCRGGTGCCGTGAGCTGCAGGGTCTTTTCCAGCCATGGCATCTCACTGCTCTGGGCCTCTGCAAGGGCCACTACAGACCTCAAACCGAGGCTCCCGAGACCTCAGCTGCACAGTGCCACCCAYGCACCCTCCCAAGTGAATGTCAGTCTTTAACAGAAGGTTCCTGCCGTGCTTTTCAGGCTTCATGCAACATTTCCATTTCAAGCAGGTTGCCTCTGTCCTAAGCCCTCTCCAATGATGCAGATTGCTCTTACCTTGCTGACGAGGATATCTGTTGCTTCAAAATGTCGTCCATACATTTTAGGTGATTCCCCAGGAATAGGTTCTATTTTAACACATACTTCTTGGCCTTTCTTTGCAACATCCACTGGTTTGTGGTTTATTTCAATGCTTGTAACTATTCCAATTTCAACAAACTGTAATACAATGAAGCAGCTGTAACACATCCCCCAAACCTCTGTGTGCACACCCGTCTCTAAACCCATTTGTAGGCACAGACGTGCTGCAGGGGGTGAGGCTCTGGTGGAGCTGCCACCTCAGCACAGGCAACCAAAACATACAGCACAGCAAATGCTCCATATTGAAAAGGGCAGGGACAGCAACCTCCCACTGCTCATCTGGGCTATCAACCGKTTATCCCTTAAAATGTCAGGAGTTGATTTGCCCCTTTATTAGCTACCAGGAATGACAATCTGCTCGTTACTCAGTACCACAACACAGACTGGCAGCAGAGCAGAGTGGTCGACTGGCAGGTGCCCTCCAGCCACACTTCATGTGTCCTGCTCCAGGGCTCAGCTCTTCTGGCACAGAGCAGTGACAGATTTCAGCACCAGAAGAATGACTTGATCTACAAGTCTGAACCTCATCTTCTGCCAGAAATCTGTGCACTGGGGAAAGGGCATGCAAGTGCTCCATGATGCATCATCCCAGGAACTACCAGCTGGGTCAAACAGCCTGTGGGAAAAGGCCCATTTTTTTACTTACATTTTTGCTAGGTACACACATGGGAGTCCCCTGCTTCACCTGGCCGGCCTCCACCACAACACCCATCACTATTGGGTCACGAGAGTTGAAAATGAACTGAGGGAGGATTTTTAACTTGCATGGAAACACTGCTATATGCCTGGAAGATGACAAGAAAAGGCACTTTGAAAGATACACCAGAACAGTGTATGTAACATTTATTAGTTCTGCCTCTCCCACACTTCTTGGGTATTCACTCTAGGAGAGTCACTTAGAGAAAAAGCAAGCAGGAAAAAACCTCTTTTCCAATCTTGCTAATTCTAGTCAACACCTGATCTTCAAGAACTACAGACAGCAATAATCATGCATGCCTGGCATGGRTTTTAATTTGACAATTTGAGCACTCAACTTAGACTAAGACCAAAGAAGTATTAATTTTACARTATAATTACAGCCTCAGAAGAACACAGGAATAGAAATATTGCTGCTTCAATTACAAAATTCCAAGATATCTGTTTGCCAAATGAACAAATGCATTTAAATGCTGAGCTAAGCAAACTCAAATTGAGATCAGTATGAAATTAAATACATTTTCATTTATTTTGACTGTCATCACTGAAGACCTCCCAATGACACATGATTACAAAAATTAATTTTGGGTCCCTATAAAGCCTTAAATGATTACATAATCATGTTGCTGCAGTCAGAATTAAACCCTCTACACTGGAATTGCATGAATATGAAACAAGAGAATTCAAATCCCTTTAGTTTTGGTTTTTTTTTAACTCTGCGAGACTAACCCATCTGTCACAAACTAGGAAGAGAAGCCAAGTATAGATAGGAAACCCTTATAAAAACACTTCATATTACACAACAATTCTAGCTGAATCTTGAAAATCTGCTGCACAGCTTTCACAGCTCTCACCCAACTAGGTCTAATCCAGATCTAAACAATTAGACTGGAGCACTGAGTACTTGAAAACTATGAATTTATTGTCCTACCATCTTCCTCCTCTCCTCCCTTTCCAGCAGAACTACATGCTAAGGAAACAAGAAGTTAATACAGTTTCATTTATACTAAAATAGGAGAACACTTGTTTGGGAAACGTCCAGAATAGGATTGCTTATACTTACTTGAATTCCTCTTGTTTCTGTTTCTTGTAGTCTTGTCTATATTTTGTGAAGGCATCAAATAAGTGATAAATTATTTCAGCACTAAAAATTCGAACTCCTAAGCTATCAGCCATCTCCTGTGCATCACGTTCAATCCTCACATCGAATGCCAGAATAACGGCGTACCTGTAGGGAACAGTGAGCCCAACAGTTCACCAGACACACCATAAACCCAGAGACAAGGCCAGGCCTTCCTCCACCATCCCTGCACATTTACAACAGAGTAAAGCAAAGTTACTTACTGTGGGTCATGTTCCAACATAACTGATGCCTTCATAACATCTTTTTTATGGACAGGACCTATATTAATTCCTGAATACTGTTGAAAAAAGCCACAAAAATCAAGTCACTAATCTTTCTGAGTCAAAAGGAARCAGCTACTGACAAAAACATAGAACCAATGGCATCAGATAAAGCACAACAGTACTTACTGGCACTTCTGATGTTTTGAGAAATTCAAGTAATGCCTCTAAAGAGCCTAAAGTAGAAGCCTGGACATAAACACCTTTCTCTTCTAACTTGATTGCATTCAGTGTTTGCTTCAGTTCATGTATTAATTCATCCTTTAGAAAAAAAAAAAAAMCAAACAGGAGAGGAAAGCGAGTTTTAGTTCTCTTGCTATTTGTGCCTGGGGATACAAAATCTTCCTGTTCATGAGCTGCTGAAARTATGTGACAGCCATAGTGATAGGTCCCAACTGACAGACCTGCAGTGTAAGTCATACACAGCCTGTAACACACTGTTTCTGGCATTAGAGAAGCCTGAGCTGAACTAGACCTGAGGATTTTGCAAGAAAGTGATCACATAAAACTGAGCAGATGCCCACCTTCAGAGCTGGTAACATTTTCTGCAGACTGCACATCACTTACCCCAGCACTACATGTTTCTGCTGGCAAGGCTGAGCAAACACATGGTCCACACTGTGGCAATGCCTTTGGCTGCCTAAGGATCAATGACAAAAGCTGACACCTAAAACCATGAGCTGGAAAGGATCCTGAACACACTTTAGGCCGGGGTACAAAACAGGATACAAGAGCAGCAAAGCCATTTTGTTGCTTTTAGAGAAGTCAAAAGAATACACTTTTTCAAAGCCTATGCCTTTTAACCCCAAACACTGAGTCYTCCTCTGGCACATGAATGGGTTTTGCCATTGAGTTTTAGCCATTGCGTATCTACTACCAGTAGTACACTTTCAATAAATACTTGCATGTACCCAGCAACAAGGTCTGTGTTTGGGCATCCCAAAAGTTTAACCTCCCTTCAGAGGCACAAATAAGGAGATGGAAGACTAAAGACTACATTTAAAAGTAAATTATCAAGGTGTGAGTTTCCTTTCTGAGCTTCCTGCCTGTGGAGAGCAAGGAGCATCTCACTGCAGCTTTGGGTTTACAATAGCTACATCCTTTCCTTCACCATTTTAAAGTGTAAGTCACAAAAGAAAGTTATTACAAAAGTCTAAAATCAGCTTTGCAAATAGGAGAGCTTGCAGAACTCCACTAGAAGGTATGTACCTAATATAATTTGATTAGAATATATAAATTACTACAAATACCAAATCCGTCATTGAGAGAGTCAAACTATGCCACAATATTTGTTTTCAAACCTTATTCTGCCAGCAGAGACACCCCAGCAAAATAACAGGGAAAAAAYTAATAGTCAAGATACTGAAAACATCACACCACCAAAGCTTCACATGGGCACAAGGCTACAATGTGTTACTGGAACAGTTCTTAGAATAAAAAAAAAAAAAAACCAGTTACGTGCAAACTGAGTTCTCAACGTTAGAATGAGTTTCATCACCAGAGAGTTCAAGTTATCCTCAGTGTGTTGTACTTCAACACAGCCACCTTACCTTGAGTACKGGGACTTCATCCTCTTTATGAGCTACGAGCAGTGGCAAACCAGCCAATGTTTTTTCTAAATCCTTCCCAAGAATCTTCACACCTTGAGCAGCAACAACCTCTTTGTGCTTTTCATACTGGTTCTGAAAAAGAGAATATGCACACTAGCAAAGAGTTCATGGAGCTGATGCACAGCAACACAGTGCAGTGCTGAGCAGCTGAAGAATACAGCAGAGAGCAGTCAAGTGAGCTCCTGACTTTCATCAGTGATTGTCTCTGCTTGCCATTTGCACGTTTCAGTGCTGGTGCTCCTCTCCCTTCAGATATGCCCTGCACCCCTGCTGAAGTGGCAGGGCATGGGGAAAGCTTCTAAAAGCAGAGAAGGGGGCCAAAAAGGAACATACATTACTAAAGAGCAAGCAGTAGGCAGCTACTCACTAATAAAATCCAACAAACTCAGCCCCACAGGGAAGTGATGGGAAGATGCCAAGTGCTTAACAAAAATACTAAAGCTGAGCTGACACACAGCCCAAGGCTCTGTGCGGGAAGAGCTGTCTTGTTCTCCCCCCAGAAGCCATCCAGCCTTCTCATGTGCATAATTCCATGTTCAGTGTCCCAGGTTCTCCTCCCCATCCAGGGGAACCTCAMAGATCTTACACTCAGGGTATGGCTCTAATACCTAACAAAAACAGTTATTTCTGAAGATTTTTAAATTGATGTTGGAAGGATTTTCTGGTTCCCTAATTTCTTTCATTTAGATACCCTTTTCCTAAAACTGGAAGGCAGCTTCCTTCCTCATTATGCACTTTCTTCCCTCAAACCTCTATTCCTTAGCCCTCCATCCCAAAATATGGGTCTTATTTCAAGGATGACAATTCCACATAATCGAGCTGAATCAAAACGCATTSTCACTGCCTGCCTCAAAAAAGCCCAACAGATACCCTAGGCCCATTTCCCTAGCACAAGGTTCCCAAACTTTAAAGGCCTGTCCTATAAAATTCACCTAGGTTATCTGTATGGTTTTCTTGGCCTCAAAAATAAAAATCTGTGCAGACATTTATTCCTTCCCTTTCAAACAGGAAACATCAAAGCAGCTCTTTTCATCACCTTTGAATTATATGCATTAATCTTAACACATCTATTAATTTATTTACAGCCTTTTATTTCTATGTCRCCTCGTTTCATGAAAGCCATGCAGGAAGAATCTCAAATTCAGAGTCTCTCCTTAGGCTAATAAGACTAGGACAGCAAAACCTCCAACAACTCTTGAAAATGCCAAGAGTTTGCAGATTCTGCAGAAGTTCTGATCACTGCCACTCACAAACCAGCCCTAGAAACTCACATGTTCACTTTTCTCAAATCTAAGTGTATATGATTTTTGCCACTAAAAGGCCACTTTTACTAATATTATAACCTTAACTCAGAATTCACTGTCGTAGTACACTCCAACTTCCATTTAAGATGGGTATCTCCCTCTCACACATATTTGAATCCTTTATTAAAGCATACACATCCTAATTCTCACTGCAAGGTAATTCCTTGATCCTTTTTGCCACTGCTGTATCACACACACTCCAATAGGTACATACAAGTAATTTTCACAAAGGACGTGAGCTGTGCCCTGCCTTTCCCTTGAAGGGCCCCTTAGATACTGTTAATATAACTATATTCTACTACATCTTCATTTTTAATAAAGCTTTATTTTTTTCCTGGTTCTAAATGTCAGTACAGTAGCCAGCTGCCATACCTTAACTCGTAGCTCCTTCATAGGAGGAGGCAGCAGAAGACCTCTAATCTGAGTTACAATAGGACCTTCCACCCCAGGAACAATAATGGTGTCTCCTTCTTTCAGGCGTCCATTAATTAGAATAACATCTATGGTAGTGCCCATGCCTGGCAATGCCTTAACCTGAATGAAAGGGAAAAAAAATTACTTCCATTTATGCACGTCAAACACACTTTTTACCAGAAGGAAGGGTGCAGGGAGGGGAAAGATTTCTACATGGATTTCAAGGAAGAATTGCTSTATTACCTCCATGACTTGAGCTCTCAGCTCCTGACACTCAGCCAGTCTCTTGGTCAGCATGGTTTGTGTGAGCTCAACAAGAAGAGCTATCAGACTTCCCATGCCATCCCCCGTGTGAGCAGAGGTAGGTACAAGAGAAACAAAAGTGCGGGGATCCTTATTCTCATAAAACAAGGCAGCGTTCAAGCCCTGCAATCAGGATTAATAGTTAAATAGGGAAAAGCATATGTATACATCAGTTTTAACAGTAACATTCAATCTCAGTCAAATACCACTGCATTTTTTTAAATCCCAGTTTGAAAAAAACAGCACCTTTACTAACAGTATACTATGGAAAATGAAGCCTGAATCCACACTTGGAAGCAGTGTGGGATAACTCTACAAAGCTAACTACTCMATCTAGCTTCTAGACAGCAATCTATGTCACCAACAGAGGAAGYTCCCAGAACTGATGTGATTCATGCCCTGCCAGCATCCAAGAGAAAAAGACAGATGGGATTCTCTCAGGCTATTCCCAMAGAGAAAAAGAACAGTGACAGAAAATTTCATCTGCTATTCATGACTCCATTGACCATGCACAATAATTAGCTATTTTTCTCCAAATCAGAACTAAGGATGGAGCAGTTAAAATTATGTAAGATGTAAAAACAACGAAGTTTGGTTTATGCAAAGTTAACACCAATGTTAACTTCTTAAGAGAAGAGYTGCAACAGTTTTCTTGATATTCCAAGTTGTTTTGAGGAAAGGGGAAAAAACAAAAAACACCAACAACCCAAAACAAACCACACCATTCATCCACACCATTCATCCACCTCCTTTACTATCACTTTTGTTAAACAAAGAACCCTGAATATTCCAACTTACCTGTTTTGCAAATTCCACTATGATAGCTTTTGCACGCTCTTCAAATTCATCTTTAGTATTTTTTTTCTGCTTCTTTAAGGTGACAGCTACATCTGTATCTGGACTTTTTTTCCAGTCATATAACCTATCAATCTTAAGAACACAGCAGTATGTCATCTTATGTAGCTTACTAAAGGGTGTCTTTATGCTTATGCCACATCATCGATGAGAAATACTTTATCAGCCAATTTAGCCAGCCATCTATCTGCTCCATAATCAAATGAAATCCTTTTTATTTGCTTTAGCTGCTATATTTAGCTCTGTTTATGTCAGGCAGTATYACAGGATAGCAATATTACTTCAGGTTTTAAAAATTCAAGCTATAGTAATCTAAGTTCATATGGAAAAAGTTAATATGCATTAATTACAGCAATGTTAAAATAAAACATTAGGATACCTATTTATAGCTTCACATACACACAAAAAATACAAAAACAAAACCACAGAGTTGTTTTTGGTTTTACCTAAAAAGAGACTAAACAAGTTTTATAAAGAAATTTTAAAATTTACTGGTAAATATGGACCCTTTCCCATGTTGCTACAGAGAAGGGACCAGAGCAGGTCTATTCGAAAGACATGACAGTACTTCAGAAACATTTTCCCAAGGATGCTTCCAAAGCAGCTCAGTCTCAGTCCAAAAAGCTATTATATTTGCTGTAAAAATCAAAACTACATCTTAAGAAAATGGTCAAAATAGTACAATTGTAACTTGAAATGCAAGAGCTTTTAGCTGTTTAATTTCAGGCTCACTGTAGGCTTTTGATGGCAATGAAAGATAGTTGGGTCTTTGCGTCTGAGAGACAGAACTCTCCACTCCTCTGCTATAAGGTTTGGACACTTCTCTGTCCAAGTAGCTGTTGTTGGCAATGAGATAATGGCCTCCTCCATTCCAATCACCTTCAATCTTAATACTCCTTTCATTTTTTGAAATATATTGCAATTTTTACACAGCACACGAACAGCCTTCTGACAGTTCTCTGTCAGCCTGCCAGATGGCTTCCAAAGTCATATATGGAAATTACTCATGTTCAATATTATATAATTCATTGGGTCACTGCCAAACAGGAAGCATAATTTCTCATGCACAGGATTTCTAAAAACAGGGCTGAAAATAACTGACTAATTTTCCACCTAGGATAGCAAAGCCCAAAACACTTTCCACCAGTGATCAACATTAATGCTCCATGGGCTCAAAGTCAGCTTGTCATCAAGCCAAACTAACAAGTATCAGTAGCTAAAATAAAGTATAACTTGTCACTGTGAAGCTTGTGTTTGAATTTTATCAGAAAATGCAAATAAATCTATATAAGTATGTACAAGGGGAAAAAACCCTACAACCGAAGTACAACTTCCAGAAGTGTGAATCATATACAGAAGTTACATAAGGCAGCAAAATTTACCAGTGAGGGCTCCAAGTAGAACTAATCATTCTGCAAAGCTCCTGTAGCACCATTGTGGTATCAAGGACACAAAAACATGCAACACACAGGATCTAAGAACTACCCCTTTATACTTTACCCAAAACAATTCCAGTTCAAGGAGAAAACAGACAATTGTCAGATGCCAAATACACTATTAGAGTGGAAAAATACACTATTAGAATAAAAATCTATCCTACCTTGTTGAGAGCTACTATAAAGGGGCATTTCTTCGATTTCAACAGATTTATTGATTCAATTGTCTGTGGCTCCAAACCATGCATGATATCAACTACAAGTATAGCAATATCACAAAGTGAGCTTCCTCTGTTTCTTAGATTGCTGTGACATTAGAAAAAGTAAAAAAAAAAAAAAAAAAAAATCAGTCATTTAGCAACAGAACACCAAATGCAATGTTAAACTTACATTGACAAACAAGCTCAAGCTCAATTTGCTATTTTCCTTTAAAAATGTTAACCATTCAAACGACACTTCATAAATTTCATTTAACAAAATACATTAAAGAATGTGTAAGCAAAAATAGGAAATCATTATTCTCCCAGAAGTTTTCATAGTATTATTTATTTTTACAATATAACATCTGTTCTGATCATTTTCTGAGCGAGAATTGAGACAGTTAAAGTGAAATGCAGGAGTCTGAACAAGACTTTTTTATATACTACATAAAATCTAAGTCTGTGATGATTTTATACAATACAGTGTAAACAGACTATCACATCTACGCTGCCAAACAAAACCTGGCTAGAAGATGAAGAGCTGTAAGTGGTACAATAAGGTATTTATCTGAACATTAACAAGTGCCCCACAACACAGCATTTCAATGCTTACAAAGGTTTATACTGAAAATTGTCACATCTAAGTCTTACTTAATCTTTCTGTTTGGAGATTTCACCTGGGATTTCACCTCAGTGAGTTCAGTTATGCATGTCATGTTTTAACCTTAAAGGCTGACTTAGCTGATTTTGCCTGCATGTTACTGGTGTTCCTGGACAGCATTTCATCTCTGCTAAGACTCAGATGACTTGTGCAAATAGTAACTTCCAGTCTTATGAACTCAGTTACCTTAACTGGGACGCTACAAATGAGAGACTAGGACAGAAGCTTTAATTTTTCATAGCAGAGTACTTAGGTCACCTGAAATCCTCACCTTTTTTTCTCCAGCTAGCTTCCTGCTTCCATGTTTCCTCTTACACTAACTATTTATTTACATGCTTTTTCAGATATTCATGGTTCAATTGGCACGAAGACAGAAAATTAATCAGCTATAAAAGGCCAGCAATTAACCAGATATAAAAAGCACCTGCAAATGAAGCAAATCCACTTAATTCCTCTACTTTAGTTGGTTTTGTTGGACTTTTTTTTCAACTGAGAACTAACACAATGAATTAGGCAAACACCTCGCACTTTGCTAAAAATATCTCCAGATGCTTTACCCATCAGTTCTGAGAAGTACAACATTGTGAGAAAACATTACCTGAAAGACTCATGTCCTGGAGTGTCGATTATCAGCATGCCTGGAATTTTTATGTTCTCTCTGTCAAACTAACATTTCAAAATATTAGCCATCTTGCAGAAATTACACAAGAAGAAAAAAAAAATAAAATAAGAGCTGGCAACATTACTAACAGTCTGCACTTCAAAAATCCAGATATATTSTAAGGCCAGCACCCTCTATAAACCAAGTCAGCCAACAGTCATTTCAACCTTAAAAATATGCAGCACATTCCCCCAGGTATCAAATGGMCATAAGCTAAGCTAAAATCTGTAAGATAAGGCAGCCTACAGAGGAGAAAACATTTCAGGGTAGTGAGATGTATCATCCTCGACTTGATGATTTTCTCTTCTCCCCTAACTTTACATATTTAATAAATTGATTAAAATCTTGAAAAAAGCCATTATTACACCAAGGCTTTTCAGACAGCTGCTTCTGCAAACAAAACAGGACATAATAGCCGAAAMAAACAATACAGAAGAGTTACTATGATAAAATTAATCACACAGGAATTGGCCCAATTTCACCACATACAGCAAAGGGTAAGTATTTAACAGAAAATATACTCTATAGGTTTCAAGARTCTTAGGTTTTCAAAAGTCTCAATTTACAATCAAAATGCTGACAAGTAAGCAGTCTATGTACATATACACACTGTCCAGAACAGAGTAAATAGTATTTGCATAYTCTTCTGAAGAAACAGCAATGCATTAACTGAAATCAAATGTATGAAAAATGAGACACCCTTCCCTTTTGTGGGGGAATGATAGGAATTAAAAAAAAAAACMMCCCMAAAATCAGAGGCGGGGAGACAGTACATCCGTCCATGTCAGGAAATCTCACAAGTTTGTATTTCATATTTTTTAAGATGYAGTCATAGAAGTGCTTAAACTTACATTTTTCACCATCTTGGTTTGTTCATTAATAGCTTCAAGAGGAACATTAGTTGCACCAATCTGCTGAGTGATACCACCAGCTTCACCATCCTGCACATGGGTGTGGCGGAGCTAAAGACAAAAAAAGACCAGAAATACTTACATGTAAGAAACTAAAGTTATGTCTGAGCACACTTCAATTCTTTGTTTTCAACCAAAAAACAGGCATAAACAAGAGGCACAGGCAGTGCTTTCACACTCCACACCTTACCTTATCTAAAATTTTAGTCTTGCCTGTGTCTACATGCCCCAGGACACAGATAACCGGTGCTCTSAGCTTTTCAGTGTTCATATTTTTGCTGTTTTCAGCTCGTCGCTTCTATGTAAAAAACACATAAAAATTGGTAAGTATAAACCAAAACCACAGCTCAYCTATTGACTTGATTACATACATAGAAACACAGATTTAACTGTGGGACTTTGATTTTCGAGGCAATTTAAAGTCTGTTATCCCTCTTCTGGCAAATCAAGTAATTTTGACTAACAGTTACATATTTGTTTGGTTGGTTCTGGTTACAGTCTAGTAGGCTAAGTTATATCCACTAACATGCAGCTTTGCTGATAGCCCATTCTGAACAAGCAGCTTGGGTGAGGAAACTCAGAACATTAGCAGCCATGAATGCACGGAACAGTTTAGACACACRTTTCAAAACCTGAAAATATCTATCTTTAAAGGACAAAAGCCTCTTTCTCCAGGACGGATAGAGCGAGAGGGGAACAACAATGAAGTTGCCATCTCTGTGGTCAAATTACCTAAAAATAAATACCTTATCTTCAGACAAAACCAAGTATTTTTTTCTTAATTAACACAATTTCTGAACCTGCTTAAATATTAGCCCTGACACAGCCACCGTTTTTGGCAAAATTAACTGAAAATTAATGTTTGTTATACAGCACAAGAATCCAAGTGTATTGTATCTTAATACCTCAATTCTCCGTTTAGCTTTGTCATAAGCACGCTCCTCCTTAGTGCGGTCATCATCAGAGTCATACTCWGAGTCAGAGCTAATTTCCTTGCTGGGCTTTTTTTCCATAGATTGTTTTCCAATAGCTTGGGAGCCTCCCTCTCTCTCATCTGAAGTCTTTTCATCCTCATCTTCACTGCCTTCACTATCTTCAGATTCTTCACTCTCTTCTTCCTCTTCCTCCTCATCATCTTCCTCCTCCTCTTCCTCATCCACTTCATTTTGTTCTTTGACTTCAATATGGACAGGTTTGCTCTCTGTTAAAAAAAAATCTTAAGTAAAAACTCTCTATTAAGTTTACACTTGGGGGGGAGATGGCAACTACAGAAGAATGAGGAGTGAGAGCAGGTTCTATAGTAAGTGTTCATCAAGATCACTTTTCAGCTTCCAATGTAAAAGTGTTTCATATTCAGAGTTGCTGATTTGTGTTTAGAATCCAGAAGCAGAGTGAGTTTGGGGTGGGGTGAAGAATGATATTACCAGCACATTTATGTGTAACATTATTTGCAAATATTCAGACATTTTTTAAAGCCATGGGCACTTCATAAAGGAATAATGCACCAACACCTTTTTTTAAAGGCCAAAATACTCCAAATCCGCACTATACGGATGCTGTACACTACTGATCAGCAATGTACATTCAAGCAGACGTAACAATCAGAACAAATGGTGTCTTTTGCACCTAATAAAAAAAAATCCTATCTTCAGGTTTTCTTAGACTCTTTAGAGAAAATTAATACTTTTCATAGGACTTCCTCAGTAAACAAACTAAAAGAACTATCAAAAAGTAATTTTCTTTCTTGGAAAGCTTTTCATTTATAATCACCTGTAAAATTGTAAGAGGCAAGCCGATGAAACTTTAAAGATATGCATTCTCCTCCTTACAGCACTGCTGGCAGGCTCACTGCTCTTAGAGATTGTTACATTTCCTTGCTACACTCATAGTCCATCAGCTTACTAATACACTGAATTTAATTCCCAGGAAGGCTTTTTTCTGGATCCCATTGGTAGAGTTTTTAAATCTAAGGAGTAAGAAGTGCTATGTCCTCCCCGGCACAGTGACAGTGGTGCCAGACTAAAACAAACACTTAAGAAGGTGAGCAGCTCTTAGAACTCAAAAGCACCAGAGGAACACAGYTGAAATGAAATCCATTCTGCTGTATGTATCTGTATATAAAGTATTATACTTGAAATCACAGGTGTCAGAACTACAGGCCTGAGMAAGTAAGAAGTACTTGATGAATAAATGGTCTTTGTGCATAAGAAACAATGAAGATACATTATGGAAGTACTAAGTCCAGTAACCAACTCCTGTCAGGACTGCTCACAGAAATACACTTTTCTCAATCACTGGAAGAAAATATCTGAGAAGTTATCCCTGCAATCTTGCACAGCTCTAACTTCCCCATAAACATTGCTGTTGAGTGTAGACAGAATATAGCCTTTGGCACACATGCACAGGAATATAAATGTTCTGGCAATTCTTTCCTTTCTTCCAAATCTGCCTCACAAAGAAGCATATCATTGAATCACAGAATGAAGTCCCTTTCAGCCCAAACCAAAGACCATCTAGTTACAAAACCCCCCTGCCATGAACAGGGACACCTTCCACTAGACCAGATTGTTCAAAGTCCCATCCAACCTGGCTTGAACATTTCCAAGGATAGGGCATCCACAGCTTCTCTGGGCARCCTGAGAAGCRTCTCACCACYCTCACAGCAAAGAATCTCTTCCTCATATCTAAACTAAACCTACTCTCAGCTGAACTGATTCAATTTCCCCTTGTCCTCATACCACATGTCTTGTTAATAGTTTSTCTCCATCTGTCCTGTAGGCTCCCTTCAGGCACTGGAACCCTGCAATTAGGTCTACCCAAAGCTTTCCCTAYTCCAGGCTGAACAATCCCAATTCTCTCAGCCTTTCCTTGTAGAAGAGAACTTACTATAACACATGCACACTTAACCTTCACATCATTTTAGCCCTCCACTTCTTTCAAAACTTCCCTCAGGGTTACTCTCCTGATGTTGCCAGATTTGTGTAATAAAAATACTATGGCTTTGGAAAAATTAGTATAGAAATACAATACCTTTTCCCTAAACTCTCAGATGTGGTTTAAGCACATAGTAGAGAAGAGAACTCTCATAAAAAAGAACAAAAAATTACCATCAATTTATTTTAGATGGTAACTGCACCTGAGAGTATCTTCAAAGGGTTGGCTTAAGCAGTATTTGCGTGGCTTCTGGAAGYTCGGCTTTCGAGAAGAGGTTTTTATATCTATCATCAGTTACTTCACAATTTATCTAACAGAGYAGAGGAAAAATCTAAGTAAAATAGTGTCTTCTATAAAAACAGAAAACTCAGCCCTGAACCTCTTAACCAGAAAAAAACTTATACATTTGGTATTTACATGCCCACCTTTCTCTCCATCTTCATCACTAACCATAGCTTCCCAGTCATCCAGACCTGCATCTTCTGTTTCATCTTCTTCCTCCTTTTCTTCTGAAACTAAGAAATTCAACAATAAAGTTTTAAAAAATCAGGCCAGCAACATACATTTTAGATGTCTCTTCTTTTGAGATACTACCAACTGAAACTTACAAGTTTGCTTGTACCRTAATTCTATTGAATTATCTCCACGTTCCATAAAAAGAAGGTGCTGCATTCTTAAGAAATAATCACCAATTCTCTCCACAAAAATCATGTAGTGCTAGCRTCTTTGCCTAGCCATTTTTTGTGATTTTTTGAAGACACAAAAAATCTACTAATCCCGTCTGCCTATCATGCCAGTGCCTGCATAATGCCTGCCACACAAACCTCTACCACAATTGAAAGGAGTTGCCCAATTAACAGTCACTAAGTGTAACGAAGTGACAGAGAAACAAGAATATAAATTGGGTTACAGTAGAATTTTAACTAGTCAAAAATATAAATTTTCTATAAAAAGGACACCAGGTGCCTTAACATAATTATACCACAGACTCCAGAAGCATTAAACATATTAATTCAGCRGGAATTCAGTAAGATATAGAAAATATTCCAGCTCTTAGTAAGAGACAAATGGGAAAATGCAAACTTGCAACCCTCTCCAAAAAAGCATTATACAATACACATTTGCTGCAGCACATGTGTCATAAATTTCAGCGCTCTGAAGTGAAGAATAAGTTYCACACTGCTGGAATATTAGCTAGAAGCTAATGTTCTGCTGGTGAGCTCTTCTCTCATGGCAMTGGAATGGCGATCATGAAATAAGGCAAGCTATATTCAGGACACAGGACATATTCGGCTTTGTTTTCAAAAACTGCACATTTTGTCAGTATTTATCTGACTTAAGAATAAGGATAAAAACTGAAACAGTCTCCTTGCGAAGAAGAAGTCCAGTATAATGTGATTTTGACAAAATAAGTACTGTGTGTAGGCAAAAATGAGGGCAACAATCACTTGCTGAAAACTCAAAGCCAAGAGAGCAAATAAGGCACTGAATGTACTTATTTGAGATAATTCACTAAGCCAATTGAACACTGTTGTGTTGAACTGGAGTTTACCCAGAAAAAGAGACCTTTACACACTCTTTTTGAAGCTTCATGCCTTTTACTCCATAAAATTKCATCAGTTCCTCCTTTAAGGAAAGAAAAAAAAAAAAAACCAACTACCTCAAGAAAGGATGGCCACTCAGCCCCACCCAACAAGGTATGATAACTATTATGCAACACTGACACGCAGGCTTAAGTATTTGAAATTTAATAACATTACTACCAACCTGGCTCTACTGGAAGAGGAATCTCTTCTTTCACTGGTGTTTCCAGTTCTACAGCATCTTCAGCTGGGGAAGTTACCTCCACACTTTCTGAAATTGCAAGACAGGAAGTTGATTGCTACACACTTTCAAAGTGCAAACTGACTTACTTAGACATACAGCTCCACTCCAGCTTATTTGGAAAAGATCTGTGTTTCTAAGCACTTGAATAATTTATAAGACAAGTCAGTTATTGGCTAAGAGGATAACCATTGCTTTCAACATTAGAAACTCCTCACTTTCTTTAAAAGAAGAGAAAATTAAGTACTGCTAATGTCCTACCCATACTTCCCTACTGTTCCTTTCAAAAGAAAAAAAAACACTGATTCAATATCAATTCAGATATGCACCATTTTCAATTCTTTACACACACTCCATAAATGATAAGTAGGGATATAGCTCATGTTAAATAAAAAAAATTAAAAAAAAATAAAAAATAAAAAAAAAAGCTAAATAAATACATCTGTAATTTTTAAACTAAGGATTAGTCTTGAGAAGTGCAACAGTAAACCCCCCCAGAGGAAAATCACAAACCATAAAAGCAAAAAACTGACACATTCAACCTACATCTAACCAACACAAGGTTTCAAAAATGCAGCTCTTTGAACTACTCTGAACAATTTGCACCCAGGAGCTGAAATTTGTTTTAATATACAAGAAAAAAAATAAATAAACAGTCTCAAATTTAAAAAAAAAATAGGATCATCCCTTTTCATGCTGGGACAAACTCAGATTTAATTATAAGTCATTATTACTTAAACTACTTAGCATTTTGACCTACATATGCATACAAAGCATTCAACATCACATTCAAGAAAGACCTTTACATCCTGTACATCTCYAACATTTAGAAAATCCAAAGACAAAGGTTAGGAAAAAATAACAATCAACAGACTGCAAAAAATGGATAAAGAGAGCAGCCTTCAAAACAACTTAAGGATTCTAATGTATCAGCTCTTGGATGTGAGGGCAGGACTATCAAAAAAACCCCAGAGGCATCCTGAAGTGCAATTAGCTTAAGATTAGCTGATTTATTTCAGAAATACTTCCACAAATGTGACTAATTTATAAGGTATCCCTATATGCATACTATACCTTCTTTATTTTCTGGCTGCTGCTGTTTCTTTTTCTTTTTGTCTTCATATATTGGCCTCTTCTTTGGCACAGAGTCTTTGGATGGCACTTCAACACCTGCAAAAAAAACAAAACCACCAAACACTGTTAAAAAGAAAATCCAGGTAATTAACAAACGTAAACTTTGGTTTAATTAAGAACACATTTCCCAAAATTGGAAGATGAAGGAAGAAAGAGTAGAAAATAGGTTATTGCGTAATTTCTTTTTTTGATAAAGCTCGAATTCAAAAGCCAGAAAACTTGAGTGAGTTCTTCAGATACTCCCGACTGCTCTCAAAAAGAAGTCAGGTAACTGAARGAAGGGAGTGGCAATGAAACGAAACTAAACAATAAATCCAAATGGATTCTGTGACTGCAGGTTTGAAGTTATCACGAACCTACGTAACATGTTATAAACATATACCTCAAATTTAAAGATTTAAGGTCTGCTATACAAAAACTCACTTAAAACCTGTCTGCCAATGGTCCTACTTTCAGACAATTTGAAGTAGTTCAGAAGCACAACCCTTCTTAAATGCTTAGGGTCGTCCAGTAGATAGCATTTTCCCTTTTGCTCCATGTTGGGAGTTTTGGTTTATTGGTTTGCTGGTTTTTTKATAGTAACAACACTCATGGTTTCAGATATTAAAATAATGCCAGGATCAATTCACCAGCTTCATCTTTGCCTCACCAGGAAGCAGGTGMTGTAATGTATCAAGGGATTCAATCAAAAAAGAAGTTTGGTGCAAAGACAAATCAAAAACTTAATTACTGCTGCACACAAAATTCTCGCAGGTACTGAGTGACTTATATTGCAGATTTGACAAAAAATGCAGTTGTAGGAGCCCATAAATAGAAGGATTCTAATAGCTACAGTAAATGACCAAGGAGAAATATGTTTAAGAGCTCCAAACTTTTTACTAGGTACAGAGATTCCTACATTTATATATCCACCTACCAGTAAAGTGTCAGATAGTGTACTCTACAAATACAAAGATACTCAGCACTCACAAATTACTTTGTTTTTCAGTCACCAACTATTGAGCACCTTAATTAATTCAACAAGATCCAGATCACTGGTCTTACAACACCTTCAGCACAGCCCATCTGCTTTTCTTTGCTTTTGGATTATGCCATTTTTTTTTACGTACTTCTTCCTAAGTTCTACAACTTGTATCTTTAAACTGCAAGTAGAATATATCAAAAAGTTCTATATTTGAAGTGTAAGATGAAAAGACAGATGCTTAAGCCGACTTAAAAAATAAAGGGAAAGCGAGGGCGYGCATTGCCTTCCTTGACAACAGAGCAGCTTTACATGGAATCACTCAGTACTCGCTCTCCTAACTACAGAGAGGAAAAAAATAAACACAGCAGTAACGTGTATGAAATTTGGTTAGGTTTTTTGTTTTGACTTTGTTTTACTTATTATTACACTTTACTGCTTACCCTGAGCTTGGAGTAGTTTAAGAGTAGCCTCTGCTCTGGCTCTGGCTTCTCGTTGAGTTTTTGTTAAAAGCTTTCCCTCCTTCTTCAAACGCTCCTTTCTCTCTTTTTCCTTCTGTTTCTTTCTTTCTTTCCTCTCTTGCTCTAATCGTTCCTAGAARAAGATTAAGAAACATGCCAAAACTCTAAAGCATGCTTTACACAAAAGCTGCCCAAATATAYTCTGTTCACAAGAAACATATTAATTCACCAATCGCACCAGCAAGCAGACAGATTAAGGTTACTCTCTCCCTTATTTTATCCTTGGAGTGAGATATACGGTACCTCCTCTTTGCGTTTTGCTTCAAGTTCCTCCAGTCGTCTTATGCGTTCTTCCTCCTCTCTTTTTGCCCTTTCCTCCTCCTCTTTCATTTTAGCCAAAGCCTCTTGCATGGCTTTAACTGTGGCTTTACTGGGACCTTTTTTCTTCTCTTTCTCTTTTTCTTCTTTCTCACCTTTCTTTTTTTTCTTGTCTTTTTTCTTTTTGTCTGCCTCATTGTCATCAGCTACAGAAAAAAGAGGCATAAATTCAAGGAAACCTTAAGCACAATTAATGTTTCAAATATAATAAATAACAGCAAATAAGGAATACTTTCACTGGCTTCTATATAAACATTTCATAATGAAAACAATAAAACTGCCTCTTAAGTCAGGGTCTGAAGTCTCAAAGTATCAGAATAACAGGGAAGAGAAAAAATATTCTTGCAATACAGAACTGAAATCATATACTTTAATGAGAATTCACCATCTGGCTTGTTTTCCCATGTACCTGACCAAACTAGAGGCCAGGAAACAGCCACCTGTGAGCCAACAAAGAGAGTCTAACAAGGCCACCAAATATCTAGTATTCAAAATAAATTCAAAATAAACCAACAACCTATCCTCACTGCCTGGCACTTTTCTGGCCTTATAAAAACTATAGTGTTTAAATTACAGTTTTAGAAACCATGTTACAAACCTTCTGCTCCTGCAGGAGTCTCTCCTTTTCCCCCAGGGCCAGGGATTACTGTAACTTCAGGAGAAGCCTTCTCTTCAGCTTTCTTTAGAGATTCCTTTGGCTTTGCTGGTTCTTTACCACCTTCTAAGTCTTCCTTCTCTTTCTGCTTCCTCAATTTGGCTTTCTCTTCTTCACGTTTTTTTCTTTCACGTTCTTTTTTTTCTGCCTTCTTCTGAGCCACTGTTTTTACTTTGAATGAAGGTTCTTCTTCATCATCCCCACTTTCAGCAGCAGGAGCAGACTTTGGCTTTTGGTTTTTCTTTTGTCCTCTTCTAGATTGGGAGAACTCATCTGATTCATCGCCACTCTCGCCTGAAGACACTCCTCCCCCACGCTCTTTGCTTTTCTTAATGTTAGCTTCATCTTCTTCAGACAAATCATGYTTTTTACTTGACTTCTGTGTTTTCCCTTTGCTCTTCTTAAGCTGTGTCTCATGATCATCATCATCACTGCCAGAAAGCATGTCTTGTTTTGCTTTCTGAGTTTTTTTAGATTTTTTGTCTTTATCTTCCACTTCCTCACTGTCATAGTCATTTTCCAGATTGGCTTTTTTGCTCTTTCCTTTCCTTTTTTTATCTTGTTTTGATAAGCTTTCTTCGTTGTCATTTTCAACCTGGTAATTAAACAAATAAATAATCAGCCATGAAAAATTACTTGCCATCATGAGCTAAGAAGYAGCATCAAGATATATCAAGAAAAACCTCTCTTACTGAAGACAAAGCTTGAAAATAACAACTATTCCTGCTGTGTGCACCATACTTCAGCCCACCATTAAGATTTATTCTAATTTGCTTTGAAAACTTATCAGCATGAAGACATGGSTTCTTCCGTGACTGACTTTACCATGAAAATATGATCAATTTAAAAAAAAAAAAAAACACATTAGCTGCATGTGTCACAAAGGATCTCCAACTACACTGCAACACCAGTTCTCYGGGACAAAAGTATCTCATATTTTAACTATTTCCTACTAAAAAGCCCACCTCCCTCTCAGTGTTCACCTTTCCTGTAGAAGGTTGTTCCCTGTCAATTTTCCCTCCTTGCGCCTCTATTGACAGTTCCTCCAGCTCCTTCAGGATATCATCTTCACTAAAATAAGAAAGAAGTTAGGGCACTTAAGTGACTGAGTTTTTGGACAATGGAATAAGATTAGGCAGGTAGAAAAAAACCGCAAACTTACTCAAAATCTTGTTTCTTCTTTTCTTTTTTCTTTTTGCCTTTGGATTTCTGAGGCTCTTGATCCTTTGCAGCTCCTGCACCTTCTATCTCAGCAGCAAGGGCATCAATATCAATATCATCTTTTCCACTAAAATGAAGAAGGAAAGCAGGGTTATCACAAGTTCAAAGTTAAAGTTTACGTAAGTAGAAGCCATCTGAATAAAACAGATAAAAATTTCAAAATGCAAAATCAATCACAAACCGTGCAATGCAGGAAAAAATACCTTACTTGTAAAAAACTATTATGCACTGTCACCTTATTGCACTCAGTAGGATGGGAAGGAAAAACCTTCACACATGTCATCTGCTTGAAAGGAGGGGGAACAATAAAATACATTCTGTTCTTGCAACATCGACTTTAAAAGTTTAGCTGTGCAATTTGATGTAACTTCTTGSAAGAATGTAACTAGATTGTTTGGCTTTGTTCCCCCAAAAGATGAGTTGTTTGGTCTTCAAATCACAGTAGGTGTCATTGATAGAAAAGCAGTCACCACAATGAAAGCTTAAAAATGAAGCACAAATAAAGAAATWTTGCAATTCACAACCAGGGAATCCTACTAAGAGAKAYTTAGCTGCTCCTTCAAATACCCTTTAGCAAACAAAAAAAACTACTGGATTTTTATCTAGCAATTAAGTGCAAGTTCTTTACAGCTTCCAACTCACAGTAACAGTTGCCTAKGCTTTGCCACCAGACTGAGAATTTTATCTTTCAAGAAAAGAAGTCACACAGACGAACAGAGTTCAGCCCCAAGCCAGACTTTAAAGCAGATCATAAAAAATGTAGTTTACAAGCAATCATTTGTACAACTCTGAAGCCTAAAGAAAGCCAAAAGAAGTTTTTGTCCMGATATTTTAGCACCTCATCACATGCAAAGTACAATTGTAAGAAAGGAGACTTAGTTATTCCTTGCTTCACACTTAAAGCTTCAGTACTCAGATCAAAACTGGTCTGACGCTACTTTTATCACAACTTGCAGTTTCAAAAACCACTCAATCAACAAGCTATTAATATTTAATTTAACCCCCTCTTAAGATACCTGGACAGAAAACTGTTTTACAATTTCACTATCTCATTTATTAGTACCCACTCAGGACAAATCAGTAAAAGGTTAACCCACGAAATACCTGAAACTACATCCAAAAAATAAGGGAAACAAATTTCTTCCAGATTCAGGACTTTCAAGATATCAGCAAATTCTACACTACAAGAGCTTCATTCTTGCCAATTTATAAACCCAGAAGTTGAATCTTAATAAAGAAAACCAAGTATTTAATTTTTCAGCTACAGATTCTAAAATTCATTAAGTCTCAGTTGCAGCTCTCTTTGCAAAAAAAGAGAGGGCTGAATTCTTTTGCAAGTGAATGCTGACACCATTATTTTACCCCATGTATTGTAGATATGCAAGTCACCAAACACTGTCTATATGTGATAACAGCACAAGTAAGCAACAAAGTACTTCATTTATTTAAAGGYCAAGATTGATTATTTGTATTTTTAAGATCTTATATTTTCTTCTGAGCAGAAATTATTAGCACCCACTCAGCTTGAAATAGTTTGAAAAAGCTTTAAATTGTTTGAAAACACCAAAACACATGTAGCAGTAGCTCTACTACTACTTTTTCCAAAGCTGTACCGCTTCTATTACTACAGGGTCTTAACCATATTGTTGTTCAGATACTAAAGCACCAGGCCTTTAAACAACTTATATTTTACATAGGTATTATCAAGACTGACTTTTCACCATACAGTTTAGCAGAAAGTTATGTCCAAGTATATATATATATATATTTTTACTACAAAAGATGTCTGTGGTACCTCATGTTTTCAAGGGTACAGGCTTTACAGGGATAAGTTATTTGTTGTTAAATCAATTCACTTCAACTGAACTTTGAAGAAGAAAACTTCTTTAGAGAAAAAAAATAAATCTCAAACTCTGAAAAAACTATCTGACAGACATTAAGCTTTAACACCCACCAGCAAAAACAGTTTAGGAATAATAATAATAAAGACTCTCCAGCTGTCCCAGTAGTAGCATCAATACACTACAAAAGCTTTCCCAAACTTGGCTTTCACTGCTTAGTTTCTGAAAAAATGGCCAACCATTCCTGACCAAAAAAAAAAAAAAAAAAACCAAATTGTACTTTCCACCACACTTCCATTTACTAAGTGACAGCACAAGCTTCAAATATTTGTGCCTCAATGAAGTAAAGTAAAATTAAGGCTACATGCACTCACATATACAGCTATAATTCTTAAGAACTGACAAGCAAAAATATCATTGGAAAGCCAAGGAATTCAAACACTGGCTTCCATTACTACAAGTTTATTCCCATACTGACCTTAAATTTCCTCATCTTTTAAAACTCTAGGAATATTCTACTAGATTTCACAATAAAAGAGAGTTGAAAAGAAGATTAAGAAGGTGCTCCCCCTAATCCTGAAAGATTCTTATCTTATGGGGAACCCACTACACTTAGATACATAACAGGAGACCTTCTTCCCTATGGGCATTGTTAAATACATCTAGAAATATTTTCCTGTAAATGTTTTTAGGAAGTCCCCCAACACACATTTCAGAAACCCAAACACTCTTTCAGAAACCTTCTCCTCCAAGATCGCAAAAAGGTCTCCATTCAGCCTTTACTAGGATCCAACCCTAAGAGGGCCTGATACAGGAACCTGAAAGGACCAGAATGTTCAAGCGGTTTTCAATTTTGACCTCAAACCACTTTTGTGTGAAGATTTTACAAAAAGAGATTTCACAGCCTCACTACCTTAGGCCATTTAAGATCACAATGCTTTGCACTAAAAAATAACCCCATACTTACCCACCACAAAGGGCTCAAGGAGATCTGGAAAGTGTTAAAATGAAAACAAAGTGTCACTGCACTGCTGAGGAGTTAATTCCTCTTCTTTTTTTTTCCCTTTGTTTCACAAGGAAAGTGTAAGCCACTTCTCTTATTCACATACTTCAATTTCAACCTCTATTTTTGCTGCCAGATATAAAAAGAGTTCTGATATTGCTAAAATAGTCATTTTAATGACTATTTTAATGCATTAAATTACAGCAGAAATTAGGTGTGTGTACTTCACGCAAACCTATATAAGCAGTTTTCAAAAAAACGGCTGCAGACATTTTTCCACAGAGGTCTATGCCTAATATAAGGCAAATCTCTGCAGTGAAGAAAGACAAGTCATGTTAATTAAAGATTACAGTAATCAAGTACACAGAGATCACTACATTGCAGATATCAAACAAAACAATTTTTATTTAGAATTACATCACTAATCAAAAAGTGGTCAACACTTCTGCACAATTTCGTGGCTTTTTGCCATTTAAGCAGGATTACAGCAAYATAAATCTTTAAAATACCACATAGAAGCATTTACATATTTTATACTCAAAAATATTTACTTTTATGCCCTAAATTAAAAAATCAACTATTGCCCAAAAGGATTTCAGTACAAGTTGYCTGCATAGACTAATGAAAACCTGTATTGCATCAGAAAAGCCACTTAAGGATAGATTCCTGAATATTCTCAAGTTAAATGCTGTGATAACACACTACTCTTTACCAAACCAGGATCAAATATACGCAGACCATCCCAAGAAAGTATTTGGAGATTTTTAAAACATACATGGGCAACAGAGGAAATTCAGTAACATCTCTCACACAAAGCATCAAATCAGGCCAGTAATAGAAACACAAACCTAAATTGCTCATGTTACATGTTAAACAAAATCTGCAACAAATAAAGCTACAATTCCAAATCTTGCCTATAAGATAAAGTAAAATTTCTTTCAGTGTGAAGACTAAAACAGTTAGCAAATSAAAGAGCTGTCACCTACCACTACTCAGTCAGATGTACAAAGACATCCAGTAGCTCTTCTATTTATAAGATCCCACACAGTTACAAGCTATTGAGTCAGAAAAGTGAAAAAAATCTTGTGACTGCTAGATACACGGTCTGTAGGGAAAAAAAAAAAAAGCAAACCTCTGTTGTGTTTCTCTTGCTAGTGCAGCAAGGAAACAGTATTTAAGACTAGAAGAGCACTTTAAAAACAAACAAACCAACCATTCAGCTATTGCACCACATCTGCCAAAAAATACTAAAAACACCTTAAGGTGTTTGGCTTATTTCATTTGAGGGGTGTTTGTTGTGGGGTTTTTTTTTTTTTGTTTTGTTTTGTTTTTTTTTAACATGACAAGCACAGTTTTTTTTTTTTTTTTTTTGACAAGCAGAGTTTTGGATCAAGTTCTTTTTCTGATGCAATGGCCTGCAACAGCCAGAATCTAGAAATTCTCCGTGGAAGCCATCTGGAGACCAGAGCTGACCCTAACACAGCTCTGATTTCCAAATGCTGAAATGTACATTAATCCTSGTTTCCACATTATAGGGTTTACTTTAGTCTCTTAGAGGCATGCTTTGCCATTTTGCTTTTAAAAAGYCCTGACATAGTGAAGGTCACAGCTTCTAACACTTGTTCACAATTAGCAAGATGTATTTTTAAATTTTGAAGTTCTACCATTTCTTTCACAGTCCACAACATTACAGTATTCATCAGTGCACCACTCACCAGAACAGAAGCTGTCATGCTCCAAATCAAGATTTAAACTTGCAATTCTCAAATAAGATAAAAAATACCAGTGCCTCCTAAKAAAGTATGTCTTTCATACAGTTACAAGTACTTTAACTATATATCACTTCACTCTTCTGTGGAAGATTAAAAATTTATTTCAAGTACTGACACAGTTAATACATTCATCATTAAGGGATTTTCATAGTGTGAACCTTCCATACTAAGGACAGATAACACCTACAATATAACAGACAAATCTAGGCATGGAAATTTGAAAGACTTCCTCGGCACTGCCCAGGAAAACAGCCAGATGCAAGAATGAAGTACTACAGCTATTGAAATAAGAGTTTATAAGCTTTTATAATTTTTCTTAGCTCAGTGATTTGCTGCAGCAAAAGCACGTAATAGCCCCTCCTTGCCAAACAAGCTCCTCCAGCTTTCTGCACTGGTTCTAGTGAAGGAAAGCCAACTGACCAACAGCACTTCACAGACTCTTCATTAACAG